ACATGTACACTCACACCCCCACCCCCACCCAGACCCAGACACAGATCCACACCCGCACCCACACACATCCACACCCACACCCACCTTATTCTTCAACACTTCATTCAAAGTAGTTTTTAATTTATGATTCATACTAATCATCAATATTATCTTTGAAGTATATCATGATAAAACATGAATGAAATTCTGTAGATTATGAAGTTCTTAAAGTATTATCTGATGACAAATTTAGTTTTACCTGTACGTGGTGAGTTTATGTTATAATATAGATGCATTTTTATCACTTACAACAGAAGAAAAGAAATTTCATGCTAATGGGTATTAGAAGAGAAAGAAAAAAAAACAGAAAAAAAAGGTGTTTCAATAGAAGTGAAATAAAAAGACTCATTGGCCGTCAGCATACTTTGACAAACACGTGTATCTGGTCGCCTACTGACGAGTCTTCTAGTCAACAAACATTAAATGATCGAATCAAAACTAACAGTAGAAAATCAAAAACATTCGCTGAGAATATGTGTCAAACAAGGTTTATTATGGTTTTTTCAGAATTCAATCGATAAAAATTCAAGTGACGATTATATATGAAACATTTAATTCAAAAATGAATTTCAATGCATACTACGATATTGATTGTCATTTCTCTTATTAATGATCGGAAGTTATGAAACGATCTGATTATATAACAGCAAAAAAAAACATTCAACGAATCATCAATATTACTGAAGCATAGCACATACAATTCATATTGATTTGTACGAGTTGAAACATGCTGTATATTTGTTAGTCAATTTTATGTGTATATTCATCGACAATATACAATATATCTGATTTTCCTGAAGTTTCGAATATTTATTTTATATTCGCATGTGACTACAATTCAATTGAATTATTCAAGCTTGGTCACGAATATGATTTCTTCAGAGCATCAGATCATTTTTTTGAAGTACTTGTTATTTAAATAAGGTATTTTAATTTATACTAATGATTGTGCACATATTGTACACAATTGTTTATATTCGACTGGAAATGTGAAACGATTATTCGAATGAAGGAATTCTTATTATTTCTATTTTTATCCCTCTGCTCGATAGTATAATGATAAAATTGAGTACTTTGAAAATAAATATGGAAATAAAATTAAACATGTGTGTCTATTTTAATATTAACTTTATTTTTTTTCTAAACGAGATAGTCATTCCACTAGATATTCAAAATAATGAACTATTTAATCGTGGCATGATTATTCTTGATCACTGTTTTTCACATTTGTTGCCCTTTAAAATGTTATAAATAACACAATAGGTTAAGTTCAACAGAAAACGCAAAAAATTGTAAAGGAATGTCCCTGCTTTTAGTTTTTACGTTATCCTCCATAATGAGTCTGATATGTTTACTAACGAATTTTAGATTTAATGGCCTCACAGGGCACTGTATCACGAAAGCGAGCATTACTTATTGGCATCAACAATTATAAATTATATCCATTAGAATATTGCATTTATGATGTCCAAGATTTTGAGAAGACTCTTAAAATTATCGGATTTACTGTAACAACAAAAACCAATCTTAAATTAAAAGAATTTGTGCAAGCTGTAAAAGAATTTGCAAATGAGCTTCAACCGAATGATTTAGCAATATTATACTTTGCTGGTCATACCCGATCAATTCAGCGCGAGAATTCTTTGGTGTTGTTGGACGGTACAGTTCCATTGGAATTCATAATTCAACTGATGGAGAAAAAGGATCTTATCAAAATACTCATTATAGATGGCTGCAGAAAAGTTATGAGCAGTGTACACGATGATTCTCAGCAAAAGTTAACAGATCCAACTGCCTCGTCACAAATACTAATAGCTTATTCAAGCTTTTCTGGTACAGGAACACTTACTGAAACAGAAAATCATAAAAACGGTCATTTTATGGAAAGTTTGTTAAAACATATTACAACTGCCAATGTTGATATTCAAGACATATTTAAAATTGTGGCTAATGATATTCTTTCTAAAACCAATGGTTTAAAAACATTACGTCATAGCAAAGATTTCATGCGAAAAGTCTTCTTGGTAACGGATGATGTTCAAGGTAAGAACATCGTATTTTTCTTTATCTTATAAATGAATCAAAACTTTATTTTGAGTTACTAATGTCCATTGACAGTCGTAAAAAAATTGTTTTCGTTCTTGATTTTATACTTTTATGGATACCATAACTGATATTATTACTCATTGGCATGCGTTAGAAGAAAAGTTGAAAAGATAAGGTTCTTCTACCTAATCATTATTCCTACCTTGACGAATGTTATTCGTGGACATAACAGAATTAGGATTATAATAAGTTTAAGTTATAGATTTATAGTGAATTTCTAATTAGTTCAATTACATGATTTGCATCAAGAATGAAAGAATAAAAAATAAATAATATATTTCAATCGTTATCACGTTCAGTTTCAGTCTTAATCGACTAAAATACTTTAAAAAACAAATCGATTTTTAATTTAACTAAACCGATGACCGTCAAGTGGAAACTTTTCATTTATCACAAGAAAAAAT